AATTCGTTTTGGCATGTCGTTTATATTGCTATAGCTTCTTCTATTTTTAATTCTTGTTCTTTTCTAAATACTGTTAATTGAAAGGATTTGTTGTGGAGTGAGGGGAACTAAAATAGCCTAGCTATGTTTACAGTGTTTATTATAATGTTTGTAAACATTTTGCGTCGGCATTAGGCCTATTTTTGAATGAAAAAATAAAATGCGACTTATACGCGACTTGTTTTTTCCCCCTAAAAAACACATTTTTTATACGCGTAGCGTATTTTAACCATGCAGCAAACCTTTTTAAATATTTTGATAAATTACTGAAAGAATAAATAATTAAATTACTTTTTAAACCGTTTAACTGATTGTATTAATCGGTCAAAATTCTTACGGTCGGTTAACCGGTTAAAATGAACATCCCTAATACTAACTTTTCAATCTGCTACGTTACTGAGTCTGACAAACTATGTTGACTTAGGAAATGTGATGTGACCGATGTTATAAGCATGAGTTCTGGGACACGGTGTGGCTGGTATAAACACAAGCATTGACTGCCGCAATCAGCTCCGGTGCACCGCAGACGTGTGCAGTGATGTGCAGATCCGCTCTAAGGTCTGCTGTTAAAAATGAACCATCCATTCATCATATCATCATGCAAAATTAAGAATTGGAATCATTGTAATGGGACAATCAAATATAGGTGCGGGTGGGTGGCGGGCAGATAATTTGAAGCAGCGGACTGGGTTGAAGTTTGAGCTCATCCACGTATCTCTACTCTACAGTGCCCTGGGTCGCCAGTAGCAAACAATGGAGCGCGCTCTGCTGGACAAATTAAGTAATTAAACCATTTAGAAGCATTTCATCTGCATAATGGCGGCGCTCATCGTTTATTCAGGAAAAAGGTCTACATGTTCTGTAAAAAAAAAAAAAAAAAAGTTCATATCGGCGGCATATTTGCAGATACCGATATATCTGCAACAGGCTCATATTGGCTGATAAAATCAGCAAAACGATATATCGGTCGGGCTCTAATGAAAACCCCAAACTCACTGACAAGGTCACTGATGAGTTCAACAGTCATTTTAATCCCATCAAATCTGGTCGACAACTGCTGTGCACAATTATGATCTATTTTAATGCCTTGAAGATGATTTGTGTTAGACTTCAGACTTTTTTGACATAAAGATGAACTACTTACTGTGATTTCAGACTGCGGTGATCTGGTTTCTCCACTGCATGGATCTTCTCATGTATCTTCAGGTAACTTTTAATAGCAAAACACTTCCCACATTGATCACACGTGTGCGGCTTCTCTCCAGTGTGGAACATCTCGTGTGTTTTCAGATATCCTGACTGTCTGAATCTCTTGTCACAGTGTGAACACTTATAAGGTTTCTCTCTGCTGTGGATCCTCTCATGTGTTTTTAGATTTGAAGACCGACTAAATCTCTTGTCACAGTGTGAACACTTGTAAGGTTTTTCTCCAGTGTGAATCCTCTGGTGCAGTTTTAAACCATTTGCTGAAGTAAAAGTCTTCCCGCACTCAAAGCACATGTACTCTCTCACACCACTATGTGTTTTCTGATGTACATGTAAAGTTTGCGGCAGTGAAAAACTCTTTCCACACACAGAACATGAATGCGGTTTCTCCTTCGTATGAACTGTCAGGTGTGCCTTCAGGACTGATGCCCTAAGAAATGTTTTGCCACACTGATCACATGTGAACGGCTTCTCTCCGGTGTGGATCCTCATGTGAATCTTTAGATTTTGTTTATGTAAGAATCTCTTTTCACAGTGATCACATGTGAACTGTTTCTCTCCAGTGTGGATTTTCATGTGTGATTTAAGGTGTGCTGATCGGAGGAAACCCTTCCCACATTGATGGCATACATGTGGTTTCTCTCCGGTATGAACTCTTATGTGAGCATCAAGACTATGTTTGGATGTGAAATAGTTTCCACATTGTTCACATACATACGGTTTCTCTCCGGTGTGGATCTTCATGTGTTCCATTAGACCTGGTTTTTGTCTGAAGCTCTTCCCGCACTGATCACATGTGAATGGTTTTTCTCCAGTATGAACTCTCAAGTGAAGCTCAAGATGTTGTTTGTTTGAGAATCTCTTTTCACAATGATCACACATAAACGGCTTTTCTCCGGTATGAACTTTAAGGTGAACGTCAAAATTTGGTTTAGTTGAGAAACTCTTTCCGCACTGATCACATCTGAACGGCTTCTCTCCGGTGTGGATCCTCATGTGAGCCTGAAGAACTGCTTTGTCTGAGAAACTCTTTCCACACTGAGTGCATGTAAATGGTTTCTCTCCAGTGTGGACCCTCATGTGAATCTCTAGATTATATTTCCTTGAGAAACTCTTTCCACATTGATCACATTTGAACGGCTTCTCTCCAGTGTGGATCTTCATGTGTCCTTTAACCTGTTAGCCTGATGAAAACTCTAAACTCTGCATTTTATTAAATGTTTTTTTCAGACCATGTCATGTGATTTTATTTTGAGAAGACTTTAAAAATGCTAATTGATGTTTACTGTCATCATCTAAGCATCCGTTCAGTGTACTGTCTCTATTGATTTATTGTAGCTTCGGAGTATTTGTTGGTTACAAATATGTATTTGGCTTCGGATAAAAAAAATATAATAATAATATTATTTTTAAGTATTCTGCAAAGTGATAAAGACCATGTCGATTTTCATTGCATTATAAATATACTCTATTGCAGGGGTGGCGAACTCCGGTCCTGGAGAACCTCAGCCCTGCAGAGTTCAGCTCCAACCCTAATAAAAACTCACCTGCCTGTAGCTTTCTAGTAACCCTTCAGACCTTGATTAGCTTGTTCAGGTGTGTTTGATTAGGGTTGAAGCAAAACTCTGCAGGGCTGCGGCTCTCCAGGACCGACGTTCACCACCCCTGCTCTATTGTTATAAAAATACCTGACATGGATTAAAGAACACAGATAAAGCATATATTGTTGCAATCATGTGTTTATTGCCTTCATGTTTCTCTATCTGTATTTTATTCAGCTGCAGCGATTGTTGGATGCCATGACTGTTCTTCAGCATCATGAATGAATGAAGAATAAGGAATAAACACCAACCTGTTTGTTCTTCAGTATCTTCAGTGTGTTTCATTCTGCAGGGTTCTGGAATTGTTGTGGGAGGAGCTAATCTGCCAAAATAAAACTATATCAGCTACTCGTTTTCATAATAAATGACACTTCTAAGTGATTTATGTCTGTCTTTCTATTCATCGTAAAGTATTTGATGCCAATTCATAAATCACTTTTATTGCAAATCCTAACATTATTCTGCGTCTTCAATAAAATGGAGTCAGATATCAAGAAACATAAGAATACAAGTAATGCAATGTAAATTCTTGCAAAAATAAATAATGGTAAGAAAAAACATTTGAAAGCAGACACAAGAATAAATGTACATATTTGTAACCAACAAATACTCTGTCGTTTCTCTCCGGTGTGGATCTTCATGTGTTCCATTAGACCTGGTTTTTGTCTGAAGCTCTTCCCGCACTGATCACATGTGAATGGTTTTTCTCCAGTATGAACTCTCAAGTGAAGCTCAAGATGTTGTTTGTTTGAGAATCTCTTTTCACAATGATCACACATAAACGGCTTTTCTCCGGTATGAACTTTAAGGTGAACGTCAAAATTTGGTTTAGTTGAGAAACTCTTTCCGCACTGATCACATCTGAACGGCTTCTCTCCGGTGTGGATCCTCATGTGAGCCTGAAGAACTGCTTTGTCTGAGAAACTCTTTCCACACTGAGTGCATGTAAATGGTTTCTCTCCAGTGTGGACCCTCATGTGAATCTCTAGATTATATTTCCTTGAGAAACTCTTTCCACATTGATCACATTTGAACGGCTTCTCTCCAGTGTGGATCTTCATGTGTCCTTTAACCTGTTAGCCTGATGAAAACTCTAAACTCTGCATTTTATTAAATGTTTTTTTCAGACCATGTCATGTGATTTTATTTTGAGAAGACTTTAAAAATGCTAATTGATGTTTACTGTCATCATCTAAGCATCCGTTCAGTGTACTGTCTCTATTGATTTATTGTAGCTTCGGAGTATTTGTTGGTTACAAATATGTATTTGGCTTCGGATAAAAAAAATATAATAATAATATTATTTTTAAGTATTCTGCAAAGTGATAAAGACCATGTCGATTTTCATTGCATTATAAATATACTCTATTGCAGGGGTGGCGAACTCCGGTCCTGGAGAACCTCAGCCCTGCAGAGTTCAGCTCCAACCCTAATAAAAACTCACCTGCCTGTAGCTTTCTAGTAACCCTTCAGACCTTGATTAGCTTGTTCAGGTGTGTTTGATTAGGGTTGAAGCAAAACTCTGCAGGGCTGCGGCTCTCCAGGACCGACGTTCACCACCCCTGCTCTATTGTTATAAAAATACCTGACATGGATTAAAGAACACAGATAAAGCATATATTGTTGCAATCATGTGTTTATTGCCTTCATGTTTCTCTATCTGTATTTTATTCAGCTGCAGCGATTGTTGGATGCCATGACTGTTCTTCAGCATCATGAATGAATGAAGAATAAGGAATAAACACCAACCTGTTTGTTCTTCAGTATCTTCAGTGTGTTTCATTCTGCAGGGTTCTGGAATTGTTGTGGGAGGAGCTAATCTGCCAAAATAAAACTATATCAGCTACTCGTTTTCATAATAAATGACACTTCTAAGTGATTTATGTCTGTCTTTCTATTCATCGTAAAGTATTTGATGCCAATTCATAAATCACTTTTATTGCAAATCCTAACATTATTCTGCGTCTTCAATAAAATGGAGTCAGATATCAAGAAACATAAGAATACAAGTAATGCAATGTAAATTCTTGCAAAAATAAATAATGGTAAGAAAAAACATTTGAAAGCAGACACAAGAATAAATGTACATATTTGTAACCAACAAATACTCTGTCTGTTGACACCAATAAAATTAGCTTTAAATGGCAATTTACAGGAGATCTGAAGACATCAGCATAAATAATGAGGTGAAAACAGGAACTATTGACATGAAATAAAGAGTCTTTTCAGCAGCTCTGTTAATATCGATGAGCCTCAAAGTATTTCGCAGAATCTGTTCCAGTATATTTTAACAATGTAAAGTAACTAATAAATTTGATCTGGCAAAGATTAAAAGAGTGTAGTGAAGATTCAAAGAGAGCAGAAATAAAATGGTATCAGCAGGTCTGAATGAATTCATCATAATTTTCCTCACATGCTCGCTGCTGCTGCACTGAAAGAAGACGCCAGAAAAGACGCACAAGTAGCGCTGCAGCCGATGAAAACAATACAGAAATGAGCCTGTAAAAATGTCGCTTAAACAAACTGTATAAACTGTGTTTGATGTCTGTTAAATACCATGAACTGCTCGACTCTTCTTCTTCTTCTTCTTCTGTGGGCTTCGCAGGGGCGTCGCACCCGTGGGGGATGTGGGTGTTTTAACACCCACACTTTTCCCGGTGAGAGGGTTCAACACCCGCAGTTTTTCTGCAGTTTTTCCGCAGTTTTGCACAAACGCCTTACTACAGTCGCTCCTCCGTTTCTCTGGCCGCTCTGTGTCTGCGCTCGCTGCGGCTGCCTCCTCTCCCCCTCCCTCTCAAACATGACACCGGCTTTGAGCGAAAACAAAATAAGGGGTATCGCCCATCCCTACTTAATGTCTTCTTCTTCTTCTTTGACGTTTAATGGCGGTTGGCAAACCAGCTTTGGTGCATATTCCGCCACCTACTGGAATGGAGTGTGAGGCGCTGATACCAGAAGAGAGACAGAAAAAAAAACGGAAATACAAATAATAAGAAAAAAATTATAATACCACCTACCATGTTTCCCTATCATTTGATGTGATTTGTTGAGGGCAGGGTTTAATGTCGAGTTGCATACCAGCTTTTAGGCAGCTCCTGTGCTGGAGTGTGAAGTGATTTCAGTCTAGGTGTGCTTTTTAAATCTATATTCTGTTCTTAAGATCACTATTTTAAATGAATTTTAAAACAGCTTTTATAATTTTAGCTAATGACATAAAATTTGAGGGTCTCGTGGTGAAGTATGCCGATTTACATCTGTAATTAATCGGTGATGTTTAGTGCATTGTGCGGAAGCCTCATTTGTAACACCACTGACCATTTTTCTACAACCTCCATAGATAGCTTCCTGGATTTTTTCCACAATATATTTAACATTCCTTCCTCTCTTCCACAATACTCCATCATCTGCGTATAATGCTGTTTTAATTCCTGGATGGATCCTTCAAACACATTAATCATAATATTAAATAAAACCGGACTTATAGCACTACCCTGAGGTGTTCCATTTTCTACACTCATCATCTGAGATAATGTATTACCCACTTTGACTTGAATTGATCGACCAAATAAGAAACTTAAAACCCAATTATAAAATCTACCTTCAATTCTTATTCTCTGCAACTTCAATAACAATCCTTCTCTCCACATCATATTGCATGCCTTTTCAATATCTAAAAAGACTCCCACTAACACTTCCTTCATTGAAAACGCTTTCTTTATATCAGGAATGCCAAATGGCCCTTTTGTTACTCAAGATATGTTTGGGACAGGAAAGCAGAAGTCTTCGATAATTTTTGACCCTACACATCTTTGCACCAATAAAATGTGCAACACTTTGTTTTTCTACCAAATTATATGTAATATCTAAATATTATATTAATATTTAACTTACATTGGAAAGTTTCCTATGACCTCTCACGAGATCTCGGCAAAAATATCAGGATTTATTCCAAAACAATGCATGATGGGATACACAAAGCCACAAAAGCGCTCCGGAGAGGTATTCAAAATAGTGGCTGCGTCCGCAATGGCATACTCAATGAGTACGTACTTAATTTTAATAAGTACTTACTTAACGAGCATTAAACGAGTACGCAGGCCAGTAGCCAGCTATGAGGTCACTGAGGTCCGGACCTCGGTAAATTGTTCAAATTCAAAAATAAAATTTGTTCTCTAAACAACTAATCTCATACTCAGTTTACAAAACAAAAAAAACAAAAAACAAAAAAAAAACAGAAATGGAACAGAAAATCAAACAACTTCAAGACATCAATATAAATAACCCAACAGAAGAAACACAAAATAAATTAAGAGAATACAAATTAAAATTAAATGCAATAATCAACAAACATACTCAATTCCTGATTCATAGGCTCAGACAAGAAGAATTTCACCATAATAAATCTGGTAAATATTTGGCAAATCATATCAAATGAAACAAGAAAACAGAAACAATTTCAGTTATTACAGACCCAGCAGGGAAATCCACCAAGTTCCAACACACTGGAAGAAATGAACAAAATTTTTCAAAAAATTATATAGCAAATTATACTCGTCAGAAAAAGACCCCAATCAAAATGACCAACTCAGTTCTCAACAGTATCAATCTGCCACAACTGAATGAACACCAAAGAAACAGCCTAGAACAGTGGTTCTCAAACTTTTTTGGTCGCGCCCCCTTTAAACCTATAAAAAAATCTGGCGCCCCCCATCCCCCCTTTCCCGAATCCTCATCCCACCTCAGACTACCAAATAATTTCACTAAACATTTTTCATGCTGTCCGCTAAGGCATAGGACACACACAGGCTTTCCCCCTCACCAACGACATTAAACACTGTGTCTACACCGCACGCGGGCGGCAAAATACAGTAGAACCCGGGTGTGCCTCACACGTCCTGAAAAGTGAAGCTGCTGGCTCTTTGATCGCCCCCTGGTGGCTGGCTACAGTACTGGTCACAAACCCCGCCCTCTCCATGTAAACGAATGGGACTTGAGTCAAAATAAAAAAATAAATTACACTTCCAATACAATTTTCCGAAAGATGGTTTTGGTCATTTAATGTAGTTGTTGTCATGCTGATATATGTTCAATTGTTCGTTTTTGTGATAAGTTTGATTTTAGCTAGTAATTTGATGCTATAAAAACGGGGCGTGTCGTTATGGTTGATTGGGTCTGCGGGAATTTGGGCGGGAGTTTGATACCGTGGCTCCACCTCACGACACTACTGCGCAGACTCTGGCTCCAAATGATGTCATTTACTCAAGATGGCAGCGGCCATGCTGAGAGGCTTGGCCTTCACTGTTCTATAGTTGAAGGAATAGGAGACTATTCGTCGTCCATCTTTTTTTACAGTCTATGGTAGGGCTGTGCAATTAATCGCATGCGATTGTCATGCGCATCTCGTCAGTAAAGCCGGTTCCGTGATTAGTAGTAAATCTCCATTACCTGCTTTCAGATGGAGCAGCATTTACTACACAGAGCCATAGTTCAAAAAATGGTTCCAAAGAATTAGCCTATAGAATAGAAAAGGTCACACCATCTATAATTTTCTACAACCGGTTTCATTAAAGGTAGAGTAGCATCCACCAATACACTCAGACTATTCAACTTAATGTATTATTCTTCAATTCAAAAAGCAAGAACCATCATAAGCCAGGTTTCCATCCAAAGATTTTTAACGAAAAAATATTTAGCACTTCAAAATTTTTACCAATATAGCTGATGGAAATGCCATTTATCGATAAAATTTCTCATGTGTCGACATTATCTTTTTCTGTTTAACTTTAGCGCATAAATTCTATATCAATACTTCAAATGTTGCAAAAAAATAGTTTGGAAACACTTTTTTTTGAGAAAAGGGGGCTTTAACGCAAATAAATGTGGTGTCACATGGCAGAATTAGCCTATAGGCAGTGTTTGTGTTCATGGTGTTGCTCACTTTAAAGCACCCTTTCCCTGTAGTTCAAAAGCGCATTAAATCATATTCATATTATTAAATTGCATCTAAAATAATTTTATATTTGGTAAGAAAAAAAAGAGTTACCTCTTAAACATACTCATCTTAATTTGATGTTCCTTTAGTAGCCTACGTTTTTTTTTACAGTGCAATACTCAGTTTAAATAGCCTGTAGTCCGTGCCATTCAGTGTGACCACCATACATACCCCCGTGATATTACTATGCCAAGCACATTTTGTTTTACGTGTTGTATATATTATATATATAAATAATATAAATAATTGTAAGAAAAACATTTGAAATCATAAATACAGAAATAAATGAACATACAGTACAGTGACATTTAAAAACAACCTTATGTCTGGTATGCAATAAATACTGACAGTTAAAGGTATGGGTGGGTGATTTCGGAAAGGCTAGCAATAGCGAGTTAGCTTTGAAAGCAAGATCCCACCTTCCCTGCTAATTACTCTTCAAAGCCACTCCTCCTCCAAAACACATGAGTGCACAGTCTGCACACAAACAGACCAGAGGCTAACCAGCGATACGAGGAGGACGCTGAGGATTGAATGCAACGCTGTCAGATTACCTCATGTCTCATTCACATGTAAAACATTACAGCACAAAGCACATAATATAATAATAATAATAATGCCTTTCATAGCGTAATGAACGCGCTGATGACGTATCATGTCTGCGTAAACAGGGTGCGCAGAGGTATGCAAATACATATTTGTTCATCAAGTACTTTCACTTTAAATGCGCTAAAATCCCATCCTCAACCCATTCAGAAGTACCAGTACTTACGGAAACCTATACGTAGTAGCCAGAAAGAAATGCTAATTTTAAAGAAAAACGTCAGACGTACTTCGAGGTTTTTGCCTCTGAACACTTCATATATATATATATATATATATACATTTAGACCACTTAACTTTGCTATCAGGATGTGAAGAGAATTTCAACCAGCATAACAACAAATGTGTTTTAACTAAATCACCTCCCCTGCCTTTATTAAAACACCCCAATGTTCAACAAACTCCTAATAATTAACTAGTTACAGTGTAGCATCTGCATATCTATCTTGTTACAGTGCTTGGTGTAAACCACTGATTTATATAATGATCGCTCATTTCTTTCTAAACTGTCATCATGCAGTGAAAGTGTTCGATCCGGCAGAGAGGATGACTGACAGCCAAAACACTGACCCAAAATCACCTAATTTGAAGTGTATCAGTCACACATAATTAGTTTTTAGGATATGTGTGTAAATTAATTTTCGCTTCAGGTTTTATCTGCAATGTTTCTGGTCTTTTCGGGCAGGATAAGCCATATATTGAAATCGTGTCTGATGCTCACTGACGACACAGGAAGTGATCCAACACTAAATGTATTTCTACGTAATTATGCAGGAAATATTAAACATGAACATATATCTGGTAGTAGTATCACAAATTGATTCGAATATACAATAAATATTACAACACAAGCCTCTGTTACTATGTTGTTCTATACTGTATTGAAATTCAAAGCTTACCATGCATCATCTTGGAAATGAAGCTTCATGTCTTTAAGTCCGTTCATCTGATGTTTGCTATACTGTAATTAATATGATGCAATTTTTTTAAGACGCAAGGTAAATTCACAACATTAAACAAATAACATTTTACATGCAGCACGTTTGCATTGTAAGAATGTACAGAAATACTTCAGATCTAAAAAAAAATGTTGACTCGTTGGGTGACAGTTTATTAGAGCATATCAATACTACGATCTTTCTTAATTTATCCCCAGGGCTCAATTAATACCGCGTTCCTGTATTCATTTCTACTTACAAGAGAAGCACAGAAGGATCAATTACAAAGCTACATGACAGTATATATTCCATCAGCGTTTCCTAAATACATCTTAAGTGGAAGAATAATTCAGTCCTTTTAAAAACAACAGTGAAGAACCAATTAAAATTAAATCTCAGGCCTTGAGAGGTGTTAGCCTCTTCTTCAGCTTCCTGAACAAGAACAGTTTGTAAAAGCTTCTATTTTCCTTCATGAAAAAGTAAGCAAATTACAAGTGATACATATGCATTATAAGACAATTGAACATGATTTGAAACTCATAAGAAAACAAAATTATATAACTTTCTGACATTGTTCTTTGGGGAGGAACTCCATCTTTGAGTTGATCTGAATTTCACAGTTGAATCTGCTGGTTTTGAAGATGAAGGTGAACTTTATTCATTGTGAAAACTTTAGATAATGTTTCTTTGTCATGTCACTTGCAATGGGTGGTTAGGAAGGATTTATCCAGATGATATTTTATTGCTTGATGCATTATTGTGTCCCATTTAGTGATGATGCAGCATCAGACCTGAAAGCAGGGGTGGACTGGGGCTAAAAAGTGGCCCTGGACTTTCTAACCCCGATCAAAATGCCATCTATTTTTTATTGAAATTCTTTTTTCATTAACATTAATGAATGACTGGTGGTATACTTTTTTGCATTATAATTTGTCTTTCCTGGTGTATATGACTAATAGTAAATAATTTAGAAGAATTTTTACACAGAAGACTTGGAATGTATTGCGGAATGTGGACTGATTTTATGGTGCCTTTCTATTGGTCCTTCAGAAATCATTCTAACAAGCTGATTTGCTGCTCAAGAAACATTTCTTATCATTTTAAATGTTGAAAACAGTTGTGCTGCTTCACAATTTTATGGGTAAGATTAAAAACATAGCCTATATACATTAATACTTTTATTTAACAAGGTTGCATTAAATTAAGCGACAGTAAAGATATTTATACTTATTACAGATCATTTATATTTCATATAAATGCTGTTCTTCAACTGTTTATCAAAATTCTGAAAAAGTTAAAGCATCAGTTTCCACAAAAAATATTAAGCAAAAACAGTTTCCACATTGATAATAAAAACCAATAGCAATATTCGATCACAAATAATATCTGATAATAATTAAGCAGCAAATCAGTATATTAGAATGATTTCTGAAGGAATGTGACACCGAAGACTGGCGTAATGATGCTAAATAATCAGTTTTTAATCAGAAATAAACTACATTATAACATTTTTAATAGAAAACCACTTTTAAGTGTAATATTTCATAATATTGATATTTTACTGTACTTTTGATCAAATTCAGTCTTCTTTCAGAAAATAAATTACACTTATTTCAAACATTTGACTGCCAGTGTGTAATGCATGTGAAATAGGCTAGCAAATTATATTTTTATTATAATATATACTACTTTCCTAATCATGGCACTTGAAAGCAAAAGTCTTCACATTTACAATGTTCTAGACATGGAGCAGCATTTACTACACAGAGCCGTAGTTCACTGACAAGTTTCACTTCATAACGTCAGTCGAGTGTTTGAAATAAATCCTTCTGTGAGAGAATAAGGCACGCAACATATTTCATAGTATTCTAAGCAGTGATAAAGGCATTGCATTATAAATATACTTTATTATAATAAAAATTATAATAATAAGAACTCAGATAAATCATATATTGCCGTAGTCCTGTGTTTATTAGTCACGTTGAATCAATAAAAGCAGTTAAATCTTCGGTTTATCCAGCTACCGCTATAGGCATTTCCTGGAGTTCTCTGGCATTTGGATGGAGATTTACTGCTGATCACAGAACCGTGCTTCACTGAAAGATACGCATGACAATTGCAGCTTGTGTCTAATCGCGTTTTCGATTCCATTTCAATTTATCGTGCAGCCCTAATTAACGGCATTAAGAAATTCGAAAAGGCCAGTAGTTTGTATCCCTGAAAATTAATGTCTGTCGTTTAACTTTTTTTTTTTACCGCAAAAATTGCTGAATTGTCTCGCCATTCAGCTGCTTACATCTTACCTTAGCTCACATTTACTAGAATTCATTCTATATATTTACGCAATTGGCCGGCCCACTGGGAAAACTCCCGGTGCTTCAGATGGCCAGTCCGCCACTGCCTGAAAGTGCTGGATCTGAAGATGATCTACTTACTGTGATTGTTTTTTGTATGACTGTGTAGATTAGATGAATTATTGAAACACTTCCCACATTCAGTGCAGTGATACGGTTTCTCTCCAGTGTGAATCCTCTCATGTGTTTTCAGGATTCCTGAATTACTGAATCTCTTGTCACAGTGTGAACACTTGTAAGGTTTCTCTCCAGTGTGGATCCTCCCATGTGTTTTCAGATTTCCTGACCGACTGAATCTCTTGTCACAGTGTGAACACTTATAAGGTTTCTCTCCAGTGTGGATCCTCTCATGTGTTTTCAGATGTGTTGAATGATTGAATCTCTTGTCACAGTGGGAACACTTGTAAGGTTTTTCTCCAGTGTGAATCCTCTGGTGCCGTTTTAAACAGTTTGCTGAAGTAAAAGTCTTTTCACACTCACAGCACATGTACTCTCTCACAACATGTATTTTCTGATGTACTTTCAAATTTGGTAGACATGAAAAACTCTTTCCACACAAATGACACAAATGTGGCTTCTCCTTTGTATGAACTGTCAAGTGCTGTTTCAGGGCTGAAGCCCATAAAAAAATTTTACCACACTGATCACATGCATACAGCTTCTCTCTAGTGTGGATGTTCTTGTGATCATAAAGGTGTGCTGCTTGTGTGAAACTCTTCCCACACTGATCACAAGTGAATGGTTTCTCTCCAGTATGAACTCTCATGTGAACATCAAGACCATATTTGCGTGTGAAACTCTTTCCACACTGAGGACAAGTGAAAGATGTCTTGGCTCTTCTTTTCTTTAAATCTTTCTGTTCGGTTTGAGAGCAACTCAAAGGTTTTTCTCCAGGATTGACATGATTTGTCTGCTCAACTTCACTTGATTCTTCATTCTCCTTGTTTTTTTTAATCAACTCTGAAATAAAAGTTAAAAAAATAATTATGTAACTTGAAAAAAAAAAGCAGAGAAATGTGAACATACAAGTGAACCCTGTAGCAACTCATAATGTAATAACTGCACATAATGTAATAAGTATTACAGTATTATTGTAATAGAATGTCCATAATGTAATAATTTTCTCAAAACGTAATAAAATCTTGAGCTCATAATGTAATAACAATTATTACATAAGAAATGTATTACATAAACTCACCAAAAATATTGTTAAAATATTTTGGCTTTCAGAATTCTGATGTTGTTAGAACACATAAGAGAGAGAGAAAAACACCTAAAAATATGAATATGAATTATAAATGAGTATAATCGGTATTAGGTATAATAAGAAGACTTGTTAAATATAATTATATTAAACAGCTACTGTAATAGTACTATAGTGAATATTAAGTCAAAGACAAGTTTCTTTTTGTGTTATGTGATAGGTTTGATTTTGACATATGTATTACATAAACTCACCAAAAATATTGTTAAAATATTTTGGCTTTCAGAATTCTGATGTTGTTAGAACACATAAGAGAGAGAGAAAAACACCTAAAAATATGAATATGAATTATAAATGAGTATAATCACTGTAGTTATAATAAGAAGGCTTGTTAAATATAATTATAATTAACAGCTAGAGTAATAGTATTATAATGAAGAATAAACCAAAGACAAGTTTCTTTTTGTGTTATGTGAAGCAAGGGCATATGTATGATTTTGACATTGGTGGGGACATAAATTATAAGCAGCCCAGTATCCACCTTATTTTTCCCATAAGAGCATGAGCGGACATTTGTACATTTAATGTGTTTGGCTTCCGGTGTCACCCGCTTCCAGCTATTTTTAGCTGTACAAAAACCGATTGTTTTGCGACTTGATATTTCAAACTGGTGTGTCTTACCATATTATTTTTATGTATTATCCTAATTATGAAAACACTGGTTTGTAGTGCAAACCGTTTTACCGTTTACTGCACTTTGTTATTCTTCTCGCTATTGCCCTACAGTAGTTAATGAACCGGAAGTCTCGCACATTGACAGAAAACAGATTACTTCCGTGTTGAAAAATAAGGTGGATATAAGGGACTATCAAAATATTTGTGCTGTTATTTAGCCCACAGTATGTATATACAAATTGTATTACACATTTACGAAACATGTTCACGTCTGAGATTCATTTTAGCATTTATATAGAATAACTAAACTATAGCTGAACTTTACATACCTGCAAACTTACAAGAGGTCAAAAAGTTGACATAGTTCTGCATATGGTTAGAGAGTCGGACTCGTAACCCAAAGGTTGCGGGTTCGAGTCTCGTACCAGCAGGGATTGTAGGTGGGGGGAGTGAATGTACAGCGCTCTCTCCCACCTTCAATACCACGACTGAGGTGCCCTTGAGCAAGGCACCGAACCCCCAAATGCTCCCCAGGCGCCGCAGCAAAAAAATGGCAGCCCACTGCTCCGGGTGTGTGTTCACTGCTGTGTGTGTGTGCACTTTGGATGGGTTAAATGCAGAGCACTAATTCCGAGTATGGGTCACCATACTTGGCCACATGTCACATCACTTTCACTTTCATATGACCCTTGTAGGGGGATCTGGGAGCATCGCCCCCATAAGAAAATTTTTGAGAATTTAACATGTAAATGAAGCGTTCTGGTGCATTATGGTAAAGGAAATTTCCTTTATTTTGTTGTAATAAAGGACAACATATGCTTCAAGTAAAAAAAAAGCACATTTATACCACAAACTTTTTGGACAGTGCAACTCTGTTGTCATCTGTGTTCATACTTCTCTTTGTGAGCAGTGGAGTAATTTATTTTTGCAAATTTTAATGTTCACATTAGAGTGTACATACTATCAACAAACTCCATCTTTCAGAGGAAAGAGAAGCTGCATCTGAAGTGGCATTAGATGTATTTACACAGACTGTTTGATGAAGCTAAGGTGCCATAAATGCATTTACACCACAACATTTAAAATGTATAAATAATTTTATAAGGTTACTGTTTTAAATATTTTTGAACATACAAGCTAAAAATGTTGGGAAAAATGCAATACTTTTAAATATGAAACCAAACCACCAGTAGATGATGGTAAATGACTGTTTTAAAGGGGTCATATGATGCGATTTCATTTTTTCCTTTCTCTTTGGAGTGTTACAAGCTCTTG